GTGTGTGTGTGTGTGTGTGTGTGTGTGTGTGTGTGTGTGTGTGTGTGTGTGTTTAATCACAGATCTATTTCCTTTCTTCCATCAAGATTACTCAGACATTACATGCCCTTCTGCTGAGTTCTTAAATCAACAAACTCACAATAAAACTTCTCCCGGGACCAGGGAATTGGTTCTTACATAATCTACCCTGAAAGAGGAAACTCCTTGTTCTGTAGGTAACAGCCTCAATCTCATCATTGCACGAGCCTCAGGTCATAGGTCCCATGCCACGCAATAGACTTTTACTGCACCACTGGGTCCTCTGCCTCAATGCAGAGCATAGACTCTGCTGCCTCGCAGTGACGCAAAGTCAAGGGCCTCCCTGCCTGCCTATTGGGATCCTCGGTGCTGAGACAGGAATGCACCCCCACAGTCTTGAACAGCAGTTCAGGACACAGACACCGTTTCCTTGATGGTACTCTCTGGAAAAAGGCAAAATGCATTTCTTTTTCATGAACGTAGAAAACTCCTATCAAAACCAGCACTGAAAACTGTTTATTATCCCACAAATGCATCATCCTCTACACACTGTATCTGAAGTTCCTATATACTCAATCATCTTTTTTCTTGGCAAGAACATTATGGAGTTCTTCATATGACCCTTACCATTTTCTTTAAACCTCTGGGCACAGCTAAAGACATGTGCTGCCCGCAAGCCTGCAGGCCACACGGTGAGATGGAAAGCAAGTTGGCTGGTGAACCAGCAGGCTGGGACTGGATCACTGGGCCGGTCACTCCACTTCTCGGTACTTCTGCTTCCTCCTCTGAGGTCAGCCGAGGTCCTTTGTGTCTTCTGTGACTATCTAGAGGGTTCTGATGAACAGGGCGTTTGCTCATTGCTGCCTCCTCGGGGCTCTCTGGGAACCCTATCTTCAACTCCATGAGGCACTTTTGACCATCTTAGAGTCAGCTCTCCAGGTATCTGTCACCTCTATGGGGTTAGGAGATTCTTCAGAGAAGGGACCACATCTCAGCCACTGAAAATCTGACCAGGGTGGCTCTGTCTCCCCAGGAGTGGGAAAACAAGAACAGGCTGATTGTTTTTCCTCTCATCTATTAATACTATTCTTGAACCCATGGTGTGTGGTTTAAGAGAGTATCTGATTTGGCATGCTATATTTTCAGTTGTCTCAGTTGACTCACTCAGTGTTTCCTGGGGCTCTGCAAAGACCACAGTGATTTGCAACTCTATCCTCTTAGCCCTCTGGAGCCATAGCTCTGCAAACTGTAGACTCGGTCTCTGTAAAAGTCATTGAAACATCCACAGTTCAGACACTGTCTTCTGAAATTTACATATATTTCAATTACAGTAGGGTCTTGAAACGTCATTTTCACATACAGTATTTCCAGGCATTTACCAAGTAGACAAAGTACTGGTCGATATCATTGCACTAATGAAATATTATTATTGATAAAGCAGGACAATGTAGCTGATTTTATCAGACTCATACCATTTGCATGAAAAGGCTGAGTTTCTTTGGCTCTTTGTTCATTCAAGTGCATTGAATGCCTATGTGGATAGACGTAGGCATTGTGTTAACCTGTCAATAAAATCTTGCACTGTCCACAGTGTTTTGCAAACTGATTTAGGTTTTGGACTACAACGACTGGCCATTGATAGAAATATACCATATATACACACGGGAATTACAAAAATACATTTTATTTATAGCTGATTTCTTTTTTAAGTAACAAAAAACTAACACTATGAAAGGTCAACCAGCATACTAAAAGGACACTACCTATTATCATCCGAACAAGAGACTTGTTTGGGTGTTCCATGACACATCATCTCTGAACATTCCAGAAAGGGCAATTTGCCATTGGAAAATAAAAACAACTTCTTTGAAAAGTCTGTGCTTTGACAGTTTGAACCTCCCCTTCTAATCAGTTCCATTTCTAGTCTTCTCTCAACTTTTAAATTTCCACCATCTTCTTTCAGTAAAGACCAAAGAAACTCGTGAGGACAATGGAAAGATGGGCTCAGAAGAAAATGGATACAGCTGAAGCTAGATGGGTCATGGGTGAAAGCAGGACAGGACCTCACTCTCCAACAGATACCAAGTAAGACCCCAACACTGCACAGGCTCTCACACTTGGTGAGGGAAGCACAGTCCCCAGTCTCCCTGCTACACAAAGTCAGTAGCTGTTTTGCTTGCGTTAATGGGTAGGCAGCAGCTGGTGCCTCAGTGCTGTGAGGCGTTGTCCTCTACCCAGAGCTCTGGAAACCAACTCGCCATGCCAAGGAGGCCGACTTGCAACATCATGGTCACAAGGGGGCCGCCCTGCCATTTCAGCAGATGTCTTCCTATGTCCATTAACTAGGGGGAACTGGCTAACTCCATACACTATAAAAGGTTATTTACATTTACATGAAATTCAACAGCTTTTCTACATTCAGAAGCTTCTATAAACAGAGGCTGCGGCCTGGGAAGACTGTGGATCTACCACTCCTGTTTCTAACAGGGATCAATTACTATTTCCTTTTGTATCACTCAGCAGCGCAGGCTGGACATCATTGTTGAAGAGACAGAGATTTTCTTGTAAAAGCTGATGTATCTATTATTCCAAGAAAAAGAGAAGCTCCATTCTCAGCCCACCTTCAGAGCAGGGCAAAGAAAACCCTCCACAAATAACTGTATTTCTTTTGTAGGATCCTAAAAGCTCTTAGCACCGATTCTGTTTCAGTTGTAGGGGACTTTTATTTCCAAAATGGCAACACCTTTAAAAAAAAATCTGTCAACACAAATCCACCATTCCCTCTCATCTTCTCTCTTTCTTGGCCTTTGTTTAACTGATGAGGGAAACATAGACTCAGGCCTATTTATAGGCACAGCCATTGGTACTGACTTTCATCCAGTTCATTTGACTTTGAATATGAACCTAAAAAAAAGGGCTCAGGTTTCTTGGCTGGAGTCAGTGTCTCCCTTACAGACTAGAGACGATTTTAATGCTCACGGTCATGGCTGAATGAGAGTACAGTCTGGTGCTTAATCCACACTTTTGCATTGCCTTTAACACAGAAACAGAGTTAACATGCAGAGGTCACCGAAGATAAGAGCTATGTTCTCCCACTTCTGGTGATTTATTAAAATGTGGCATTGGATAGGAATCTGTAGATTAGCTAGTGCCTCTCATGACTAAGTCTCCATGGAGAATACGCCCACAGTTCAAACATTTGACATGAGAGAATATCAAACATAAGGCCCCAAGCAGGGACTTCTTGACACACAGTCAGCTGGACGAGCCAAGAATCTAGTTGTTCAAGATTTTTCTGTTCCTAGAAGCCCCATAGTTCACCTTTTCAGAAATGGAGGGTGAGAAAGAGCCACCCATTGCTATGCCTCAAGTCCTAACCATAGGCATGGGAAACCCAAAGGCTGTGTCCTCAGAGTTCGGAAGTCCAGCGTCCCGCGGGGGCTAAGGTGTTAGACCTGGAACTCAAACATGTCTGTCTGTTTTTTGGCCAGCTTGGCCACCTCCTCCCGGATGGCCTTCACGAGGGCCGCAGTGGAGATGTTGGTCAGGGGAGCGTCCGAGGGGTCGTTTTCTGCCAGGCTCTGCTGCGAGGCCGCTGTGGAGGGCGCGGGGGCCTGCTCCAGGCTGGGGTGCAGGTTGGCTGGCTGGCTGTACTGGCGAGGAAGCCTGGAGGGCGAGCTCTGCGGGTATCGTGATCGGGGGTAGGCCTCAATGTAGCCTGGGAGGGGCACCTGCAGAGGACATGGGGAGAGAAGGACAGGGCCCAGTATGAGGAAGGGGCTCAAGACACAGGACACACTCGACACTGGAAGCAGGAGGGGACTGAGGACATGGAAGAGGACTTAGAAGAGAATGGAAGCCACATACCATGGTACAGAAACAAAACTCAGAGTCAGTCCAGGTGCGGTGACTCACACCTGTAATCCCAGCACTTTGGGAGCCTGAGGTAGGTGGATCACCTGAAGTCAGGAGTTCAAGACCAGCCTAACCAACATGGAGAAACCCTGTCTCTACTAAAAAATATAAAAATTAACCGGGCATGGTGGTGCATGCCTGTAATCCTAGCTACTCGAGAGGCTGAGGCAGGAGAATTGCTTGAACCTGGGAGGCAGAGGTTGCGGTAAGTCGAGATCGCCCCATTGTACTCTAGCCTGGGCAACAAGAGTGAAACCCCATCTCAACAAAACAACAACCTCAGAGTCAGTTTGTTTAGAACATAGGTAATCTGGACTCACTGGATATACCGTTTGGTTGAATTAAACAGGCTTTTTTTTTTTTTTTTTTTATTTGTCTTTGGGCTCTGGGGTACATGTGCACATCCCGCAGGATTGTTGCATAAGTACATACATGCCACATTTCGCCCCTCCCCCCGCCACCTCCATCACCTCCATCAGGCATTTCTCCTGGTGTTATCCCCATCTGCCCTGCCCCCTACTGTCCCTCCCCCCCAGCCCAGTGAGTGGTGTTCCCTTCCCTGTGCCCAAGTGTTCTCATTGTTCATCACCCGTTTATGAGTGAAAACATGCAGTGTTTGGTTTTCTGTTCTTGTGTCAGTTTGCTGAGAATGATGGTTTCTAGATTCATCCATGTCTCTACAAAGGCCACAAGCTCATCGTTTTTTATGGCTGCATAGTATTCCATGGTGTTTATGTGCCACATTTTCTTTGTCCAGTCTATCATTGATGGGTATTTGGGTTGATTCCAGGTCTTTGCTATCATGAACAGCAATGCAACGAACATATGTGTGCATGTGTCTTTATAATAGAACAATTTATAATCATTTGGGTATATACTCAGTAATGGGATTGCTGGGTCAAATGGAATTTCTATTTCTAGGTCCTTGAGGAATCGCCACGCTGTCTTCCATAATGGTTGAACTAATTTACACTCCCACCAACGGTGTAAAAGTGTTCCTATTTCTCCACATCCTCTCCAGCATCTGTTGTCTCCAGATTTTTTAATGATCGTCATTCTAACTGGTATGAGATGGTATCTCAATGTGGTTTTGATTTGCATTTCTCTAATGACCAATGATAATGAGCATGTTTTCATATGTTTGTTGGCCTCATAAATGTCGTCTTTTGTAAACTGTCTGTTCATGTCCTTTGCCCACTTTTGAATGGATTTGTTTGTTTCTTGTAAATCTGCTTTAGTTCTTTGTAGATTCTGGATATTAGCCCTTTGTCAGATGGGTAGATTGCAAAAATTTTTTCCCATTCTGTTGGTTGCCTGTTCACTCTAATGATGGTTTCTTTTGCTGTGCAGAAGCTCTTAAGTTTAATTAGATCCCATTTGTTTATTTTGGCTTTTGTTGCAATTGCTTTTGGTGTTTTAGTCATGAAGACCTTGCCTGTGCCTATGTTCTGAATGGTGTTGCCTAGGTTTTCTTCTTAGGGTTTGTATGGTGTTATGTCTTATGTTTAAATCTTTAATCCATCTGGAGTTAATTTTTGTATAAGCTCTAAGGAAGGGGTCTATTTTCAGCTTCCTGCATATGGCTAGCCAGTTTTCCCAACACCATTTATTAAACAGGGAATCCTTTCCCCATTACTTGTTTTTGTCTGGTTTGTCAAAGATCAGATGGATGTAGATGTGTGGCATTGCTTCTATGGCCTCTGTTCTGTTCCATTGGTCTATATCTCTGTTTTGATACCAGCACCATGCTGTTTTGATTACTGTAGCCTTGTAGTATAGTTTGAAGTCAGGTAGCATGATGCCTCCTGCTTTGTTCTTTTTGCTTAGGGCTGTCTTGGCTATGAAGGCACTCTTTTGGTTCCATATGAAGTTTAAAGTGGTTTCTTCCCGATCTGTGAAGGTGGTCAATGGTAGCTCGATGGGGATAGCACAGAATCTATAAATTGCTTTGGGCAGTATGGCCATTTTCACAATTCTGATTCTTCGTAACCATGAGCATGGAATGTTTTTCCATCTGTTTGTGTCCTCTCTTATTTCCTTGATCAGTGGTTTGTAGTTCTCCTTGAAGAGATCTTTGACATCCTTTGTTAGTTGTATTCCTAGGTACTTTATTCTCTTTGTAGCATTGGTAAATGAGAGTTTGCTCATGATTTGGCTCTCTGTCTGTTGTTGGTGTATAGAACTGCTTGTGATTTCTGCACACTGATTTTGTATCCTGAGACTTTGCCAAAGTTGCTTACTAGCTTGAGGTTTTGGGCTGAAATGATGCGGTCTTCTAAATATACGGTCATGTTGTCTGCAAATAAGGACAATTTGACTTCTTCTTTTCCTAATTGAATATCTTTTTTTTTTCTTACCTAATTGCTCTGGCTAGAATTTCCAATACTATGCTGAATAGCAGTGGTGAGAGAGGGCATCCTTGCCTAGTGCAAGTTTTTAAATGGAATGCTTCTAGTTTTTGTCCATTCATTATGATATTGGCTGTGGGTTTGTCGCAAATAGCTTTTATTATTTTGAGATATGTCCCATCAATACCTAGTTTATTGAGAGTTTTTACCACAAAGCGCTGTTGAATTTTGTCAAAGGCCTTCTCTGCATCTATTGACATAATCATGTGGCTTTGTTTTTGGTTCTATTTATGTGGTGGATTGCATTTATAGATTTGTGTATGTTGAACCAGCCTTGCATCTCCGGGATGAAGTCTGCTTGATTGTGGTGGATAAACTTCTTGATGTGCTGTTGGATTCAGTTTGCCAGTATTTCACAGAAGATTTTTGCATCAACGTTCATCATGGATATTGGCCTGTAGTTTTCTTTTTCAGTTGTATCTCTGCCAGGTTTTGGTATCAGGATGACGTTGGTCACATAGAAAGGGTTAGGAAGGATTCCCTTTTTTTGTATTGTTCAGAATAGTTTCAGCAGGAATGGTACCAGCTCCTCCTTTATATGTCTGGTAGAATTTGGCTGTGAACCCATCTGGACCTGGACTTTTTTGGTTGGTAGGCTATCAATTGCTGCCTCAATTTCAGACCTTGTTATTGGTTTATTCAGGGTTTCAGCTTCTTCCTGGCTTAGTCTTGGGAGTGTGCAAGTGCACAGGAATTTATCCATTTCTTCCAGATTTACTGGTTTATGTGCAAAGAGCTGTTTGTAGTAATCTCTGATGGTAGTTTGTATTTCCGAGGAATCACTGGTGAGCTCCCCCCCCTTTTTTGTTTATTGCATCTATTCGATTCTTCTCTCTTTTCTTTTTTATTAGTCTAGCTAATGGTCTATTTTGTTGATCTTTTCAAAAAATCAGCTCCTGGATTTATTGATTTTTTTGAAGAGTTTTTTGTATCTCTGTCTCCTTCACTTCCACTCTGATCTTAGTTATTTCTTGTCTTCTGCTTACTTTTGAGTTTTTTTGATCTTGTTCCTCTAGCTCTTTCAATTTTGATGCTAGGAATTCTATTTTAGATCTTTCCTTGTTTCTCATGTGGGCATTTATTGCTATAAATTTCCCTCTAGACACTGCTTTAAATGTGTCCCATAGATTCTGATACATTGTGTCTTCATTCTCATTGATTTCAAAGAACATTATTTCTGTCTTCATTTCATTGTTTATCCATTTGTCATTCAGGAACAAGTTGTTCAGTTTCCATGTGATTGTGTTTTGAGTGTTTTTCTTAATCCTGAGTTCTAATTTGATTGTGTTGTGGTCTGAGAGACTGTTACGATTCTTTTGCATTTGCTGAGGAGTGATTTACTTCCAATTATGTGGTCAGTTTTAGGGTAGGTGTGATGTGGTGCTGAGAAGGATGTGTATTCTGTGGATTTGGGGTGGAGTGTTCTGTAAATGTCTATTAGGTCCACTTGGTCCACATCTGCATTCAAATCCTGGATATCCTTGTTGACTTTCTGTCTCGTTGGTCTGTCCAATATTGTCAGTGGAGTGTAAAAAAGTCTCCCACTATTATTGTGTGGGAGTCTAAGTCTCTTTGTACGTCATTAAGAACTTGCTTTATATATCTGGGTGCTCCTGCATTGGGTGCATATTTATTTAGGATTGTTAGCTCTTCTTGTTGCACTGATCCTTTTACCATTACATAATGCCCTTCTTTGTCTCTTTTGATCTTTGTTGGTTTAAAGTCCATTTTATCAGAGACTAGGATTGCTACCCTTGCTTTTTTTTTTTTTCTCTCTCTCTCCATTTGCTTAGTAAATCTTCTTCCATCCCTTTATTTTGGCTCTATGTGAATCTTTGCACATGGGATAGGTCTCTTGAATACAGCACACTGATAGGTCTTGACTTTTTATCCAGTTTGCCAGTCTGTGTCTTTTGATTGGGGCATTTAGGCCATTTACATTCAACGTTAATATTGTTATGTTTGAATTCGATCCTGCCATTTTGTTACTGGCTAGTTGTTTTTTTTGCCTGTTAGTTGATGCAGTTTCTTCATTGCATCATTGTTCTTTACCATTTTGTACGTTTTTGCAGTGGCTGGTACTGGTTGTTCCTTTCCATGTTTAGTACTTCCTTCAGGAGCTCTTGTAAGGCAGGTCTTGTAGCAATGAAATCTCTCAGCAGTTGCTTGTCCATAAAGGATTTTATTTCTCCTTCACTTATGAAGCTTAGTTTGGCCGGATATGAAATTCTAGGTTGAAAGTTCTTTTCTTTAAGGATGTTGAATATTGGCCCCCACTCCCTTCTAGCTTGTAGGGTTTCTGCTGAGAGATCCGCTGTGAGTCTGATGGTCTTTCCTTTATGGGTGATTCATCCTTGCTGGCTGCCCTTAGGATTTTTTCCTTCATTTCAAGGTGAATCTGATGATTA